TTCCTATCCCATGCTGCCTCCCTATCCTGTGCCCCCTCTGCTTACACTCATCATCCACCGTGCCTCCACATGTGCCCCCACCTTGCTTCCCGTTGCAGTCAGTGCCCTGCTCCTCCCAGCCATATATTCATCACCATTCCCACTACCACATGACTGTCCCAGCAACACTACCCCAGCTCCACTGGCACATTTCACCCATGCCAGGTCAACACACTGCCTCTTTGTTATCCATACCCTGACCAGGACACTAAAGATTGGAGGGTGTTTGTTACAAAAGATTAAATGCTTCTAATTTAAGGTTTGAAGAACAGAAGTAGTCAGACTTTCGCTGCCACCTGCCGCCTGCTCCATATAACTTTATTGTACCTACTCTCACCAATTGCAGATGTATTGGCTATGACTGCTCTTCTGACAGTGTGCAGCCTGAATAGTTGAAATGCACTGTCCAGCCAGCAAATCCTAAATACCAAACATCTGGCCCTTGAATGACAAAGTCTGCCACCCTCTGCTGGAGGAGGTGCATGTGGGGTGGCACAACTTTGCAGGGGGCCACTACTCAGCAACAGAAATGAGATTTGGAGACCTGCTGTGGTGTGGGCGCACTTCAAAGACAGTGTGCTGGGGGAAAGAAGCCAGGCGTGCCTGCAGGCGTAGTATGAGTTCTGTTTGTGTCACATGTCCAGAAATTGCACATCTTTGGAGACAGAAGGTGGATTAGTGGCTGCCAGGGGCTGAGAGTAGGAGGGGACGAACTGCATTCAGGCGTGAGGGCACTTTGATGTGATGAGAATGTTCGAAAACTGGGTTGTGGTGATAGTTGTACAACTACATACCTAAAGCAGGTGGGTTGTATGCTCCCTAAATTTTGCTTTAGTGATGGTATTACTAAAAAATTAGTACACTCAGTCCTCAAAGTTGAGATATACTAAAATATATGTCATAGAGGCAGTAGCCAACTGTTCAGTGATGGGGTAGATAGTCTTACAGCACACAGGCACATAGCACTTGGCTCTGGACAGCCAACAGCTATTTTGCATGTGATTTAGTAATCACAGCCACAGCTGTTCAGGGGGAATGATGGGTGCTTCTGTGGTTATGACTCTTTGGTGGGACATTGTGACTCCTTAAAGGGTGACTCAGCAATATGATCACCATCATTTTCAGTGGCTTGGCTACCTTGCTGTCCATGCCTGACCTTTTCACCAGCAGAATTGTTTTCTTATTCTTTGATAGCACATGCTTTCATCTGTTATTCATGTCTTCATTCATCAGACATGCTCACTAGTCACCTCTTATGTGACATGTGTTGTACATCTCAAAGTATGCTGCACTGAGATTTGTGGCACAGGAGCAATCAGTCTGACTGAGCTGTTTTCTGGTGAGGTTGACTACTTGTTGGGTACAGTGAGTGGAAGTTTATTTGATGTCTGTTGTGCCTTTGATTTTGTGGGACATGTCCACTAATGTAAGAAGCAGCTCCTTGATCTGTGGAATGATATCAATCAAGGCTGTGATGACCCCACCTGGTCCATGGGAGGTCACCTTAAACTAGGCCTTGTGCTGAGTCTGTCACTCTCTTCTATTCTCCAACAACATTGCTGGATGGTCTCTGTCCTTCACATTGAAGAGGGTCCTGCCTAAAGTATTGCAGGAAAGGTGGAACCTGGCTGGATGTGAATTCTGCTCTTTCTAGGTCCAACTTGTACCTCTTTATATGCCACCAGGCTACCACACAGAGCCTGAGCTCTTGAGCATTCAGATGGGCTACTCAACACAGTCATTCTTTGGTGTTCATAGGGGATTGGGTCCAAGACCACCCCTGGATACTGAAATCCATGATGCTCAAGTCCCCCATATAAAAGGGGTATAGCATTTGCATATAATGTATGCAGCACATATACAACTTAAAGGAGAAAGAATTAATTTTGGTTCTTGGTTTCAAAAGTTTCAGTCCATTGTTAGCTGGTTTCACTGCAGACACACGGTAGAAGGACATGGTGGAGGAGGCTGCTGAACTCATGGCAGCCAAGAAGCAGACAGCAGTAGAAGAATCAGAGAAGAAGGAGCCAGGAACCACATATGATTGCCTCCCAGACATAACCAGAGGTGTGCTTTAAAAATCTCTTTGGCATCTCTCAAGCCAGTAAAATTAATAATCAGGATTAACTAGAGCTGAGGTTAACTAGAGGTTAACCCACCCCTGTCAACATGACACCCAAATGCATCTCCTATCCTGCATCCAACTAAAAAATGAATTAATTCCTTCCCCCAAATCTTAATCTTCTAGTATTGCTCAAAAGTCCCAGTCCAAAGTCTGTTCTGAGTCTCAAGGCAGCTCTTAGCTGTGAACCCATATAAAATTCAAAAAGCAGGTTTCATGATCCTAAGATATAATGGCACAGGGTAAACTTTTTCATTCCAAAAGGGAAGAATGGGGGGCTGGTAATTAATGGAACTAAAGTAGACTGAAACTCAGCAGGGCAAATATTAATTTCTGCAGTTCCATGTCTGACTACATGTCACTATGAGGGAGGGTTTGGGCGGTCTCATCCTTGTATCCTTGCTGGTTGCAGTCCATATTGCACTTCTCACTGTCTCACTGTCTGTGATATTTTTTGGCAGAATTTCCATGTCTCTGGTGTTTCCAACTTCTAGTAGTCTCCATTGCAGCTTTACTTTTGTTGTCTCTTAGGGGTTCCCCTGTGGGCACTTTGAACTTGTCATACACTGTCTGGTATGCCAGGCCTTCCTTTGAAATCTGGGTGGAAACCTTTCTGACCCTGTAACTCTTATATTGTGTATGCCTGCAAAGACAGCATCACATGGATGATGCTGAAGTCTGCTGCCAGTGTAAGCAATAAGCTGGCTGCCTTGATCACAGCTGCAGCAGCCTCTTAAGTGCCTGAATGGCTGACTTAGGGAATTACTTCCCTAGCCATTCCTGAGTGGCCAGGGTACCCTTGGACTCTTCTCAAAGCAAAAATCTTTCAAAGATTTTGTAGTTCTACATCCTTGAACCTACAAGTGTCTTGCTGATTCCTGAGATGCTTTCAAGGCACTTTTCTTCTTGTCCTGGTGCAGGGTACTTTCTTTTTAATGTTGCTAATTTCTTCAGCATCTATACCTCCTTTGGTCTCAACCATATTGCTTCTTTTCTGGCCAAATTTAAAGTTTTAAATCTTCTGCTTTGCTTTTTGCTCCTGATTCTCACTATAAATCTGGCATAAAGCGTTCAGCAGTATCCATTCCAGAGCCTGAATGTTGGGCTACCTTGACACTTATTCTACCAGATTAGTTTGTTGTCCTTAATCTCAGCCTCATCCAGTTTTAGGAATGGGCAAAATACAGACAAATTCTTTGGCAGACTTAATATGCATGGCCTGTAGTCCAAGTCCTCATTTCCATTTGAAATCTCATGAGCACAGTCTTTACTGTCCACAGCTTTATCAGCATTCTGATCTCTGAGTTCCCACCAGAATCACCCATCCATCTCTGTTTACAGAATTCTAGGGCTTCTATAACCTGCACCTCCAAAATTTTCCACAGTCCTCCTACAAGTTCTGTAGTCAGGTATAATCACAGCCATAGCCCCACTCCTGATACCATTTCTTTTTCTGTTAGCTTTCTCGTTGCTGGGATAAAATACCTGACATATATAACTTAAGAGAAGAGTTTTGGCTCATGGTTGGCTGGCTTCAGTGCAGACATATCATGGCAGTAGGGTATGGCAAAAGAATCTTCTCAATTCATGGCATTCAGGAAGGAGACAGTGGTGGAAGAACCAGAGAAGAATTGGCCAGGGATCAGATATAGTCCCCAAAGTCATACCCCCGTGACTAACCAGACATACTGAAAAATGTGCTTTGCTAATCTCCTTGGTGTCTCTCAAACCAATTGGCAGTCAAGATTAACCATTACATCTCATCTAAGAAACCAACAGGTGTTTATTGAATGCTGGTGTTGTGTGAGGGCCAGTGAGGGCTTCTGAATGAGGTATGAATCCCTCCTTTGATGTGCCTGTCAGCAATCAGCTGAGCATTCTTTTATTCAACTTGGGTAGCAATCATGAATTGGCAAAGTGCAGCTTCTTAGATGTTAATGATTCCAGCCTTTGAATGCCGGTGGCACTCAGCCCTTAGTGTTACATCTCAGCTTTGAACGCCAGCATCTCTTGACTTAGTGTTATAGCTCTTAGTGTTTCAGCTCCTGGTGGCTTCTCACCATCCCTCTAAATTAGTTCCTGAGGACCTGAGGCTTGTGGGCACGCTTGGTGGCTTTCTGGAGCTCTTTCAGCAGCTTTCTCTACTTCTCTGGGGCTCTTCACAGATCACTACAGGTCTCTGCTGGATATTGCCAGTGTCTTCCAATCTCCTTTTGTCTCCATAGGTCACTACCAGTCTCTGCTATTCTTAGGTCTTCACTGCTCTGCTACTTCCTGGAGCTCTTCAGGGCTAATGGCCCCTAGTGTTACCAGCTTTTTTAGGGCAATCCACATAGTCCACTCTACCTGGATAAGAATCTCAGGAAGGCAATAGAACCACCCAAGTAGCTGAGCATTGGGACCTGTCCTGAAGCATGTGGTAGGTAATACACCTAGCCTACACAGAGGAGTATAGTGGGATGCTATTTATATAGAGGAGGAGTGGGCCTGTACATGCATAGTTTCCTGCATTTTGATGATCTGTTTTGGGACTTTTAGAGTCACTCAGGATGGCTGCAGAGCAGTCATCTAGGACAGGAAAGCATCTCCTGGAGCAGTGATAGAGCATCTAGGTCAGCTTCAGCTGTCAGGGAAACAGCACAGTAAATTTCATGAGAGGCTTCTATTTGACAGCTCCTGTATCTTTGCTATGATGATGGGGCTGACATTGTTACCACTTTCATGGAGTCTCTGGGAGGAATGGCTGTATTCATTGGCCTATGGGGTTTGAGATTTTTTGGGGATATTAGCAATGGGCCCTATTTCCCCTGAATCTTTGCCTGTTATGATGGTTTTCCAGGGTTTCTCAAGTGCTCAGCAGCACCGGAATGGCCTAGAGTGGAGCAGGGATCACAGCTGTTGATCAAGCTATGCCTCCTGTCAGTGCAGCCCAGAGGGCAGTTGCTGAAGCAAGCGCAGCAGTGGTGGGAAGATGCTGGAGCCATTTCTTCAGGTCACCCTTGGGGAGGTGAGGGGGAAGAAGGAGGAGGGGCCTGATAGCCTCAAGTCAGATCATACCTTGTCCAACTGTCAGAGGGAAAGGGGAAAGGTTTGGCCTCATTGTTTTGTATCTCATTCTTAATGGGGCTGTGGATGACTCACTGGCCTGGGGGAGTGCAGGGTGTGATAAGGGCCCAGTAGCAGTGGTGAGACTAGCTGCATGTCTGTGGCTCCCTGGGGGAATGACGTTGTGGGCCCATGGTAACTGGAGGTATGGGGGAGCAGCTGCCAGTGTGGGGGATGAATGGGTGGAGGAGAGAGGTCTTGAGTCACAGCCAGCTAGGCATGAGGACACGGCTGCCTGAGTGGTGAGTTTAGCTCAGCCTCTGTTGCGTAGGGACAAAGAGCCCGTGCTCCTTCCATGGTTCTGCAAGAATCTGGGATTAAGCCCCCGTGAGCAGGTCTCTTAGCAGCTCACCACATCCTGCCTCACTTCTGGGGTATTGTAGTGAGGATAAGTGTCATCTTAGCCACAGCAATAGCCCAGTTGTCCTCCTTTCCAGTGCTCACTGTTCTTGCAAGGTAGACAGAGAGCCCTTGTTTGTAGACTCCAGAGTGTGACAGAAGCCCCAGTGCAGTGTGCCCAGGCCCCTACTCTGCTTCCTGAGCTGGCCTGATGTGCTAGGGTGCAAGATCCCCCACATATGATATCAGCATAGCCTCCCAAAGTACACAGGGATGTGTACCAGGTGGTACTCTCTGGGAAGAAATTGTGTCTGATGGCTCACTGTGAAGGACTGCAGAGCAGATGGTATTTGGCTCTCTGAGCTCCTTGCTCTGTCCTCAAGGTCATTGGTTCTTCCCTGGACAGCAATATAGGCTACACAGAGCTACTGTGAAAAGGGCAACCAATAGGTCCAGTAACTATGGCACAGGGTGGAAAGCCTGTCTTGTGGCTTATGCAGCAGCCACATCCAGCTCCTTCCTTTCATGGGAATGATGGTGGTAGATGGCCATGCACGGAAACTCACAGATTGGGTGGGTGTAGTCTGTAGCCTGAGAGGCCTGTGCCCATACTGATCCAGAGTACTGGGAGGTGATGTGATCTCCTTACTGCCAGTTCCATGTGGCCGGATGCAGGAGGGTGGACTTTGCTTGGCAGCGATGCTCACAGCAAACCTGAGCAGGTAGCACTGGATTCAGGGCACACTTGTCCTGACTTGTCCTCACTTGGTTGGCACTTCTCCCAGAGCAGTGGTGGTAAACCTATGGTGTGTCTGCCACAGTGGGCTCTTTGTGTCATTGAAAACTCTAAAGGCCATCAATCATAGAGGATCAGCTTAGTGATCATATCCTATAGGTGCTGGGGTGCATGGTGAACATTCCATCAGGGGCATGGCCAGGGAGATGTTAGGAAGACTGATGGTTGGATGAGGTGTGAGCATGGCTCACAGCTTGACCTTGAGGCCAGGTCCACCACTTACATTGCCTGCTACAAGCCAGTCAGGACTCAGGACCTGATACATGAAACAGGTCTGTGATGCTTACATGTCCTATTGTGCTATATCAGAGCAGCTCCTGGCTCCTGTGGGCTGTATTGCCAATGTCTGTGGGATTCAGGGGGTTTAATGTCCATAGGGTAGGGTGTTGGCTGAGGAAGAAGTAGTGATGACCCCAGTCCTCAGGTGGGGATGTGATGATGCATGGAGAAGGTGGAGTATGTGGCCTTGCCTAGGGGGAGAGGGTTGCAGAGGACTGGGAACAAATCCCCCCATGTGCTTGGAAACTTAAACTTGTCCTCTTTTTGCCGTAGGAGCGTCTTCAGCTGGACCACCTGAAAACCCAGCTCTTGAATGCCATTTGGTGGTGCACAGGTGAGACACTGCAGCAGGGTTGATCCCTGGACACCCATGCTGGCTCTTGTCCCTGGGGTAGCCTGGGCAGAGGAATGGGCCCTCCTTGGGGACCTTGCATAGGTGGCAGGATCCGAGTGGCATATTTCATGAGTTTTATCTTTAGAAGTGCTGTCCAAAGGTGCCCTCACAGGAGCTCCTGGGGGATGACAAGAGCAGGTCTATCCCCATTTTGACAAGCAAAGAAACTGAGGCCCAGTAGGGTTGTATGCATTGGCAGAGTCCATCCAGAAAATTTCTGCATATCCAGGCCATGAATCTGATTTCCCACAGCCTGGGGCAGCCCATCCTGTTCGAGAGGAGCTGTGTTATGCTGAGTTGCTATCTGGTATCTGGTGTTTACTTGACCATCTCTTCTCTATCCCCAACCTTTTTTATTCTTCTTGTCTTTCTTCTCTTATACTTTTTCCAACAGAAAATTACAGAAAAGTCAGAGCACTGTTGACCATGGCACAGAGGGGCATTGAGCATATGGGTACAGAGTATTTACCACAGTCAGTGGATGTTAGGGGACATCACAGAATCCACTGCCATTTGTGTTCCAGGGAGGGGTAAGTAATGCCAAGGGAAGGCCCTGTGTGAGGAGTCTGCCTCGATGCACAGCTTTCAAAACCTGAGCATTTTGACCTTCAGGCTCTGGTACCATGCTTGACAAAGAGTTGGTGCCCAGAGGCCTAATTGGCAGCAGACTATCTTAGCCAGCTTTTCATAGCTGTAACAAAATTCCTGAGGCTGGGTACTAGTAAGGAGGTTTATTTTGCTTACTGCTCTGGAGGCTGAAAGTCCAGGGTCACATGGCCCCTTTGATTCAGCCTTGGTGTGGATCTTGTTGGCATCACCATGAGAGGAGTATACGCAAGAGTAATCATATGGTGAGGCAGAAAGCCAGAGTGATTCAGGGGTCTGGCACTCTTTTATGACAACCCATTCTCAAGGGAGCTAACCAGGGTCCTGCAAGAGCTTCTGCAATCCCTTTTGACAGCATTGTCCTAATGGTCTAACCACCTCTTGCTGGGACCCACCTCTTAGACATCCTACCACCTCTCACATCACTACAATGGGGACCAAGCCTCCAACACACAAATCCTTGGGGAACACATTTACCCATACCATTAACACTCTCTCGTCCCCCCACACTTCCAGGATAACCTCTTTGTCTCTGCTTCCTTTCTACCCCCTGGAGAGTTCGTATCAGTTTGTGTCTTAGTGACCTTAGCAGAAGTGGCCTGGAGCTGCAACAGTCATTATCGGGCTACAAAGACTTTGATTAGATTTCAGGGCTACTGAGCTGGCCTAGACAAGACTGGAGGGGTGCACATCCTGGAAAGAGGATTGTAGCATATCCTGAACTTCCCTTTGAGAGACTGGGTCTGGTGATGTACTTCCATGATGTGCCATTCCAAGAGATGAGGCAAGAAGAGGAAATTCACAGCCTCAGCACTGAAACAAGCTGGTGCTTGGGCCCAGGGTGGGGTTCCTATGAATCCTGCAGTCCCACTTGGGACTCCCAAAGATCCAGGAGAGACAGAAATAGGCCAACCTGTGAAACCCAAACCTAGCCTTGGATCATGTCCCATCTAGATCCTTTCTGGAGGAAGAGTCCATTGTCTAGAGTCTCATTTTTTATGCAATGTCTGGGGTTTAAACCAAAATTGCTAGGTGTTTCTGATAACAGCATCAAATTCCCTAAGCAAAATAAAAATAGAGACTGAGACATGAGTAGTACAGATGTGGGAATAATCAGACGTATACTTAAATTATTTATTTTTTGTTAGTATGTGAAAGAAAATAGACAAAGTGGTAGGCTTTCACCGTGGAACTCAGAGGGCAGTGGGCACGTGTCCTTGTAGTGATTCTGCAGGTGGGATGAAAATGTCTTCAGACAAACAAAGACTGAGAGTCGGTGCAACAACAGGGCCATCACAGTGGAAAAAAGAACATGATTTCAGATGGAAGCACTATTACAGAGAAGGATGAGGCACAAGAGATGGTGGCTTGGGCTAATGCTGTTGTGGATTTGTGGGGCTTAAGATGTGGGCCATTAACAACAGAGTAGGAAGCAGAGTGGAGGGCACCTGTGTTGTAATGTCCTTGTCTCATCAGAGAGGTGGCTGGTGGGCCACTAATTCAGAGCAGATTGTCATATGTCCAAATGAGAGTGGACCTCAGTGGAGTAGAAAGCAGACATGAGGCAGACAGAGTAAAGAGTTGGTTCAGTAGGAGGGTAGTAAAATGGTTAGACTCTTTTCAAGATGTGTCAAGATACAGAGAGAAAATATGAAGTGCTGGTGTCAGGAATATAAATGAAACAAAGTCTTTGTAGATAGGGGAGGGTGAAGGGGGTGAAGGGAGGGCAGGGGTATGGGGAAAAAATAAGAACCAAGACCTATCATGTAACGGTTCAAGATCCCAATGGTAAATGTAACTGTATTGTTTGCTTAAAAAATAAATGAATATATCAGTGTAGAGTCAGTATGTTTAAATAAAAGCAATATAGAGATACTATAAACAACTTTATGCTGATTTTATATGACTATAAAGTGCTTTAGAAAACTACAACAAGCCAAGATGTACAGAGTCTGGAAAGTTCAACTTTTTTTAAAGAAATCAAATCTAATAGTAAATATGCCACAAAGAAAACTACAGTCCTAGCTGGTTTAGTTGGTGCCATCTTCCAAGTGCTTGAGGGGTGAATACCAAGAACTCCCACAAATGATGACAGAGTATGTAGCACAGGGAAAGAGCCTGCTGTGCTTTCTGCAGCCAGCACTGCTGGATTTTAAAGTCTCATGAGGCTGATGTAAGCAGTGAATGACATGTCAGTCTCTCATGCACATAGAAGCAGAAGTCCTAACTCATTTAAAATAGCAGATAAAAGGGATGATACATTATAAAGTGAGTGGCTCTAGGAATGCAAGGTTGGTTTGCATTCAGAAGCCATCAGTGTAACTCACCCATTAATAGAATACATGAGAAAACCTATGAGGTCACCCTAGCAGTTACGGAAATGCATGTAATAAAATTTATCCTCACTCAGGGAGGCCAAAAAATCTTGTCAAAGCAGAGATCAATAGGAATACCTTTGACCTGATCAAAGATGTCTTCAGATGCCTGCAGCCAGTACCACACTCAGTAGGGGGACATGAAGGCTTCTCCTGGGACCAAGAACAGTCACAAAGTCTAGCTCTAGAGTCAAGTGTGAGCACTTACAATGGCCCCACATGTATGTGAACCTTCTTGTACAGTGGCTCTGCAGTGGATGTGAAGTGATTTTTTGCTGAATGCACATAGTAGGAAACTACTACTGTTAAAAGAATGAACTGTGGCTGTTGGAGTCCACCAGTGGTATCTTAGACAAAAAGGCTGTAGCCAAGTACAATACACTGGATTCTAGTCCTGCAGATTTTTAAGATCAGGCCAGATGAATGAGGCATAAGAAGCTGGGGACAGGGTGATGATGGTGAGTTGGAGGGAGGTCTCTGGGCTGGCCAGGCTCATCTTGGCTGGAAAGTGTCTCCCTTGCATACCCACAGACCAGACACTTAGACTCTATGTGCTGAACTGCAGATAGCTGCTATGTCTCCATATCACTTTAATAAGGAGGAGATGATCAACAGTACTTCTGAGAAATTATGAGAGGTTAGATTATTTCCAGGAATTTTGCTGACTATAATTGATGAGACACTATTCAACCCTGTTTAACAGAAGGCTGCTTGCCAAGATGATATTGCAGGTTTAGGGCTTCTGAGTGCAGGCTGAACGACCCTGGCAGGAATGAAGGATACCCACTGCTATTTTCTCTTACCTGAGTTTAGCACTGGGTGTGGGAACAAAAAGCCAGACTGTCTGGAGTTCCCTGTCTTGGCTGTGGTTGGACATAGCTTCCAGCTTGGGTCCAGTGTCAGTCTCCAACCCAGGCCAGGCTTAGCCAGTGGGCAGTGCCTGAGTGGTCTGGCTGCCCCTATCATGGCAGAGCTGTACTGTTCAAGGTTGGGAACAAGCCATAGTGACCTGTCATGCTTTCTGTATTCAGAGCCTTCTGACAGTACCATCATCAGCTAGGTCAGCATTGATTTCCATCAGAGCTCTCTTGTCCACAGGCTGGCCAGAGGCCCTCAGCATGCTTCCCTATCTGGGGTGAAGGGCAGAGTTGTCCTTGTCTTCTGGTCCCAGTTCCCTTTAATTTACTATGGGGCTGGGAGGTAGCTACCACTACAGCTCTGAAAGCCTCCAAAACTTCCATAGGCTTCTAATTAGTCCTGTGTCATTTGGAGAATTTCCTAAGAGAACGGTTAGCACCCTACACCAGGATCAGGATGCACTGGAAAGTGCCGCATTTCTAAGAGCCTGAGCCCTGGATGTTGCCCTGGGTCTGTGCCTCCTTGGTCCACCTGAATGGAAGGTGGGCAGGATTGTCACTAGCATCATGGTACCCTTGCAAGCTTTGTCTCATCTTGTGGGAAGTCTGTGCAGCCCCTTCCCCAGTGGACACATTGCAGCCTGTGTTTCTTCCTTCTCAGCATAGGGGCCAAGCCCTGGGCTGGGAGGGAGGAGAAAGCTGTCTTTGTTGGCTTCTGGAGCTGGAAAACCATCACAGCCTTAGCTCTGTGCCCAGCACCTTGCCAGCAAATCCTTAATCCCGGCTTCAGAGCTAAAGACCCAAATTGGGCTTTTATGGGCAGCATAAAGAAGGGCTTTGTCAGCTTTTCAGGAGGAGTGCTGGGAGGGATCACAGCTAAACCCTTTCTTCCTCCTGTCTTTTGTTCTGCACTGCTGGGGAGTGCAGTGCCAATGTAGAGGTGAGGGTGCTGGAAGGGGTCTCTTTTAGCTGTCCTGTTCCAAGCTGCCCCTCCCTGCACACATTCTCCAGACAGAGCATATATGTCCTGTGCCCTCTCTACCCTGCAGCTCCACCTTGCATTCTGAACAGGTGGCCTGATACTCTCTGCTCTCAGCTGATGGGAATCTTCTCCTCATGGGAGAAGTCTCACGCAGCCTGCCCGATGAGTTCCTGTTGACCGGTCCACACCGTTTGGTTGTAGAAATGGACTGTATACCTCACCTGCTAGCCTGTATTAGCTGTCAGAACAGGGCTGCTCTTAGGGCACAGGGGCAGGACTGCTCCAAGGAGGGTCCCATCTCTGAAGTCCTAGCCATGCATGCCCAGGCAGGGACTCAGAGTGGGGAGACAGTCCTCAGCTGGGCTGTTTTAGGCCTGTTGCACCAGAGGCTGCATTGCAGTGCCCCTGGTACATAGCCCTTGCAGGAAGCACCATCTTTCCTGGTCTTCCACTAGAAGATTGGAAGTGCCATCTCTTGATCACATGTCTTTACTGTGTCTGGTCCTCACTCACTGTATTTCCTTCTGTCCACATGGTACCTCTGCCACATAAGTGGTATCAGCTTCATTTTATAAAAGTAGGAAGGAGGGTAGGATAAGTTAAGGTACCTGCTCAGGAGCACACAGTTATAAGGCTTCAACTTAGCCAAGAGAACCAGACTTGATAGTAGGGATTCCCTTGTGTGTGTGAGGTGCCTGTTCTTGCAGTGC